CGCCTGGTACCTCTACTTCTCAAGCAAGAGTGACGGCGACTGAGTAACTCCAATGTTAACTCATAGTCACTCCCTCGTATTTGGTATGGAACCTAAAAGGTTTGAGTAGACCGCCTGTTTTTTGGCAAACAGGGGCACTCAAACCCCTATTCCTACTAGGTAACCTATTGAGTTAATAGCCAACAAACATTGGCGAATCAAGGGGATCAGCCGGCCTCCGCCGCCTGGTACCTCTACTACTCAATTTAGTGTGACGGAGACTAAGTAACTCCTATGTTAACTTATAGTCACTCCCTCAAACTTAGTATGGAGCCTAAAAGTTATGAGTCGTCCGCTTGTTTTTAGCAAACAGGGGCTCTCAACCACTACTCCTGCTAAGTTAACAAATTACGAGTTAAAAGCCAACAAATATTGGCGAATAAAGGGAAACAACCGGTACCCGCCGCTTGTTATCTCTACTACTCAGTTCCTTGGCGACTAGGTAACACTCATGTTTACTTGGTCAGACCACTTTCCTACTTGGTTAAATTTATAAATGGCCGACTGATCGTCTATCCTGGAAACAGACAACCAGTCGTCCAGGGGCATAGGCGGCGTGACTAACTATCCGTACCTGTCTGCAACTATCGGCCATGTAAAACAGTCGGTCTAGTGAACAATTGGATATTAGATATGGAATACTTAGACAAATTTGAAGCAAAACAAAAATTCATTAAAAATAAGCCGGTCATTAAAGACCAGCAAAATATTCAAAGGCCCGGCCCCCTGGCCGGGTAAATACAAAGCAAACGGCACGCAGGCCGTGGAAAGAATACATAAAGCTTAAGAAGGGGGCAGTTCAGTATTAGCAGTTGTCGCCTGGTCAACACTCTTCTTGCTGGATTCGGCTTCAGCTGCATCCTTTTTTGATGCCTTACCCCCAAGCGGCACAAGCGCCACCACCGGCTCCTCCTCCTCCAACGCTTCCTCCAACGCCTCTTCCTCAGCAGCCGCCAGGATCTCTTGATTATATGTATCAGAACACTGGCGGTACGTTCTTTCCCAAGAGGCAAAGTCGGCATTGGGGAAGAGGCGACCCCAGGTCATGCGCTGGATTTGAGCGGAGTCTTCCATCATCTCCCGGACCAGCTCTTTCTTCTCTTGCTCGACCTTTTCCGAGAGCTCTTGGGTAAGACTCTTCTCCTGGGTCACCAGGCGTTCCTTTACGCTGGCCAAGGATTTCTCCATGGCTTCGTAAGAGTACATTTTTAGGCGAAGAGGTTTCAGCTCGGCCTTGAGATTTGTGATGGTCGCCTCCAGCTCGTCATTCTTCTTCTGGGCCGCCTCTAACTGAGCCCGAACAGCGGCGGTAGCCTGCGCCTGATAATAAAGAATATCAATGGTCAGAACTTCATTTTGGGCAATTTGAAACATTGCCTTATCACAGTCAGAGGCGGCCATAGCTTTTGCAGCCTTTACCTCTTTGTTCTTCCGATCAAGCGGCTTGCGAAGGCCGTTCACTCGGAGCAGGGCCTAAGTACAAAGAAAGAGGCGTCAGTTTCCAAACAAAAAGAAAACAGGCGTCCAGAAATTCAAATACTCAAAAATATGCTAAGTATACCTCAGCAAGGACCCTTGTAATCCCGTGAAGGTCAAGGGTGCCGACACCCCTGACCGCCTCCCTTTCAGATGGAGGAACTGCCCTGATCATAGACTTGGCCATCTCTACCAAGTCAGGCTCCTGAGGGCCGGCTGCATCAAGCATAAACAAACGGATTAGACCTAGTAAAAAGGGAGCGAGTCTAAAATTTACAAGGACAACTTCTTACTTCTAGGCGGCCCAGATGGAGTTTTAGAAGAAGTGGCCGGCTGTTTCTCAGCCGCCACATGTTTCCTGGCAGAACCAGGAGAGCTCCCAACAGTCGTCTTCCGGGCCTTGGGGTCCGGCTGTTGGGAAGATGAAGCTCTTGGAGCACCCGTCTAAAAAAAAAAAAAAAAAAAAAATAAAAAAAAAAAAAGAAGAAAAAAAGTCAGTATATGCATAAATACAACTCCAAAAAGAGGGTGAAAGGTTCGGAGCTCACCAAGGGTGCCCCCTTCTTGGGGGAGTCGGTTGAAGCTTGTTGCATGATAGAGGCCCGCAACATGGCCGCCGCAGTCTTGGAGGCGGTGATTTTGCTCATGGCGTCAGCTGCAAAAACAAACGGCAAAGTTAATAAAAGTCATAACAAGAAATGTATGGAACAACAGAGTATTCGACAGGCCGACTACCTCTTGAGCACCGACTGCTGAGGCCACAGGCGGCCAAAAAGTACTCGTCATAGAGCCACTTGAAGCTCGGGACGCAGTGCAGGGGTATTTGCTCTCGTACCCCTGAAGTAGAGTCGACCCTCGACTCTACTTTAAAGAGTCCTTTATCAAGGATCTCTTTCTTAGCCTTGGGGGGAACAGGCGGCATGCTACGGCCGCCTGCAAGAAGGGGCGGATTCCTGTTCCACCTATTGAAGCGCTTGTTCAGCTCAATGTCTGAACTCTCAATGATGAGGAAGGTGCTCCGCCAGTCCTTCCACTTGTTTGCTTTACCTCTCGTCATGAGGTAGCCCCTGTGGCTTGTCAATTGATACCAGCCGGTACCGCCTGTCTTAGGGGTCCGGCTGAGATAGTTCATATGGGCGAAAGCCTCGAAGCTCGGCTCCACCCCGTGCAGTTCGCACCCGGCCACATAGCCGAGTACGTTTACCCAAGAGTTTGGGGCTAACTGCCATAACCCCAACTCATACCCATCCAAAATCCGCTGAACAGCCGGATGTAATGGGAAGCGCAGCCTGCCTTGATGGCCGCCTCGTAGCAGCCAAAGCAGGCGCTATCATAACTGGAACCAGCCGGCCAGACGACTGTGTCTTCTGGATCCGGCACAAACACTAGAAAGTCGGGGCCCATGGTGTGGTTTGCAATAAAGCTCTCCACTTTCTCTTGCATGGCTGTGATCCGGCCCCGAGGTACCGTGCAGTAGTAAGGGGTATTTAGCTCTCGGTAAGAGGCGGATGGCTCCGCCCAATTGTCCCCCTTCTCAACTGCGTGAGAAAGTCTCGCCTCTTGCAGGCGGCTGTTTTTCTCTTCTGTACCCAAAGAAGCATGGCCAGAAGAGCTTGACTCGGAATCGTCCTCCGACGAGTCCGAAGAGGACGACTCCTCCCCTCTCCCGGAGGGGCCCGCCTCCTCTCTTTGAAAAGGAGCAGATTTGTTAACTGTTAAATGGGAAGGGGTCACTATGACTCCCCCCACAGAATTGCCGGCATCCAGGCCGCCTTGTTTCACTTCCACATCTGGCGCCTGGTCAGATGTTTCACTAAGCGGCACCCTGTGGGAGGAGCCGTCTGAATTTGAGACCCTAGCTGTCTTTTTCGTTCTGACCATCCTGCTCTGCATAGACACAGATACAGTCGGACTTTGTATAAAGGGCAAAGATGGGTCCGGAAAAGGGCAGGCGGCACTCCTAGTCCTAGATTCAGCCGTCCCCGGTGACCGGCTGATCACTAACCTAGGTCGTGTCGTGTGCTTCCGTGGTGCCATTTCAAAAAATAAAAAGAAAATTAAGAGTAAGAGAACTAACAGTTACCTGAACGAGTGACGGTTGATGAAGTTCTGAAAATCCTGTGCAGTCGGCTTGTCAGAACAGGCGGTAGGCAGAAAAAGTCCAAAATGTCAGAGCAAGTTCAGGGGTCCGAATGTTCTCAAAAAGTTCTCAAAGTGTGAAAATGACTCAAGACAATCCTCCCTTATATAGGCGAAGGGTCACTTTCAGAATTCAAAATTTGGGCGGGAAAATCTCTCGTCCTCTCGCCGACTGACACCTGTGGGAGGTCGCCGCCTGTTACAGTGCGACACCTGTCACAAGTAAGACGTGACCAATCACGTGCCACCTGTGAGGGGCAAATGATTAGGGGATTTTGCTCCCACCAATCGGAATGCGCCATGTGGGCCAATCAGGTCCTGCCAAGTGTCCCCCAGTTGGAACTGTCAGGGCTTGCCACGTGGCACGCGCTTATTCGTCCACCTTGGACCTGTTATGTCATGACATGTGGCATACTCCATGCCTAATGGAGAAACCGGCCACCCAGGCCCAACTTCCGAGGGAAGCCCAATCGGCCCTAGGTTAACCTAAACCTAGGATGGGCACGTTTCCCAAGGTTATAAATACCTCCCTTAATCCTCATTAAGGGGGATTACAGAAACATAACGGAAAAAACACATTAATTACACACAGTAATAACCGGCTGATCTCGCTAACAAAGCAGATTACCTACATTAAACACTCTCACCTAGAGAGACCTAATCTCTTTAATTTCTGCACTAATTACTCCTTAATCAAGTACTAACTTGACCGTTGGAGGCGGAGCTCCCAGGAGTCTCCGTTATTTTGCAGGTACAGGCGTCCGGTTCCAGTCTCGGAATTGTAACTCTCCCGCAGGACATCAGAAGACCCCGAAACAGGTGTTGTTTTCTGTTGGAACATATTTGAACAATCTTGAATGCCTTTTATACTAGGCACTTTATATTTGAATATATTGTGTTTTTTTTTGGGTCTAATTTTTTGTTTTGGTCAACTTCTGTTTTTTGGTGGGAAAATAAAAATTTGGCCATGAATTTTTCATTCCACCAAAATTTTGAAATGGACAACCAATTCACAAAATTGAGTGGGAAACAAAAATTTGGCCGAAAAAAAAAGGGAACCAGAAATCCCCCCTTAAAGTAGCGAAATTCAGAATAATGGGGGGATTAGTGGTCCCCTTCACCACCTTTTACCCACCATCTAAAACTCACCCAAAAACAAAAATAAGTGGGACCCTTTCTTTCTCTCCATTTTCCACCTTAATTAAACCCACCCAACTTAATTAAAATCCCCTGAAAGTTTTGCCTAGAAGTCCGCAATTTTCCCCTTTGTTGCAGATAATCCCGGGCGAAGGGAGTATTTGATTTTTTTTTTTTAAAAACTAAACTCCTATTTGAATCAAACCAAAAGATAATCAAAAGTTTGATCCAAAATGTTTTAGAAATAACCCCCACTTGATACTTTAATATTCAATTCAATTATATGGCTGAGAATGCAGCATTTCTCTCCCTTGTATTTTTCGCAATCTGAATTTTTGGCACCAAAAATCCCGACACTTTCAGACTCACTCAGCTCAGCAACTCCATCTCCGACCTTTTTCTCTCTTCACCCACTCTTTCTCACCGCCGTAGCTCAGCCTGCTGACAGAGAGGATGTCAATTATCACTACTTCACCTCGCTACACTTTCAACCTACCGAAGTCACAAGATCATTTCAGAAATAACCCAGAAAAATTCAGCCAATTTCAGGTGAACCCATTTCAATTTCACTTCTGTAGGTCACAATCCCACACAATTTGTAGCAAAAGTAATAAATTAGTGTACCCAATCACTGCTTCAAATTGTAGCAGTACTGTAGTAGAACAATCTCCTAAAAACCAGTTATTTAGAAGCAAAAATCCTAAGGATATTAATGTATTGATTGTAGGTTCAACTGGGTACATTGGCAAATTTGTTGTAAAAGAGTTGGTTAAGAGGGGTTTTAATGTGATTGCTGTTGCTAGAGAGAAAAGTGGGATTAGAGGTAGATATGGTAAAGAAGAGACTCTTAGTCAATTGAATGGTGCTAATGTGTGCTTTTCTGATGTTACTAATTTGGATGATTTGGAGAGGAATTTGGTAAATTTCGGGGTTGATTCGATTGATGTTGTGGTTTCGTGCCTAGCGAGTCGAAACGGGGGGATTAAAGACTCTTGGTTGATTGATTATGAGGCTACTAAGAACAGTCTTCTTGCTGGAAAGAAATTTGGGGCTGTTCACTTTGTGTTGCTTTCTGCAATATGTGTGCAGAAACCCCTTTTAGAATTTCAGCGCGCCAAGTTGAAATTCGAGGCGGAATTGATGCAGGAAGCTGAGAGAGATGAGGGGTTTAGTTATAGCATTGTGAGGCCTACCGCGTTTTTTAAGAGTTTGGGAGGGCAGGTTGAGCTTGTGAAAGATGGCAAACCTTATGTAATGTTTGGGGATGGGAAATTGTGTGCTTGTAAACCAATGAGTGAACCTGATTTAGCTTCGTTTATTGCGGATTCTGTCTTAGATGAAGATAAGATTAATCAGGTTTTGCCGATTGGAGGGCCAGGGAAAGCACTTACGCCATTAGAGCAAGGAGAGATGTTGTTTAAACTTTTGGGAAAGGAGCCAAAATTTATAAAAGTTCCCATTGAGATCATGGATTTTGCTATTGGTGTACTTGATTTCCTAGCTAAGGTTATCCCATCTTTGGAAGATGCTGCGGAGTTTGGAAAAATTGGGCGATATTATGCTGCTGAGAGTATGCTGGTTCTGGATCCTGAAACTGGAGAATACAGTGCTGAAAAAACTCCAAGCTATGGTGGAGACACTTTGGAAGAGTTTTTCCAGAAGGTCCTTAAAGAAGGTATGGCCGGCCAAGAGTTGGGGGAGCAGACAATATTTTAGTTGTTTTGGGATCCTTCAACTTTAATGCTTTGTTACATATAAATGTACATCCTGTTCTTACCATTCGTATAACTATATGCATTTGTAGTGATATAAATTTTTGACTGAGTGACTATTTTGTATTGCATGGCCTTGATGATACTTAGACCTTTTCATTTTTGCTTCTACAGTTACTTGAATGAGTTGATAAATTGACATATTTTACGTTTACGTTGTGAATCTACCAATGAGATGCGTCCTAATTCTTGCTTCAGCATTACAAGTTATGGCTGAACAAGTCCCTAATCTCCAAAATCGTACAATACTCATTATCATATCTATAATATGTAGTTATTTGAAAGTTATTATTTTGTCTTCATTATCTATATTCACTGACAAATTGGTGTGAACAAATCGGATTTAACACAATATGTTCATATGTGCATTGATAGCGCCTGATAGTTTGATACCCAGAAGCTTACCTAGTTTCAGTACATGGGGAGCGAGCTTTGAGATAAGTGTTCAATACATAGAGCTGTATTCATTGTGAAATTGCAGGTGACTGATTTTTTTTTGCTAATACTGTATAAGACCTTCATCTTGGTTATTTAATTTGCTCTTTTTCATCTTTATTTTTGTGCTTCTTTTACCACTCATCCCCACCTGCCCCTCCTCCATTATCGCAAGAACTCTAAATACTCAACTGCTGATTGCATCTTTGGGCACTCCCACTATTTTCACTTGAAAGCTTCTGATGGCTTGATTGGCTTCTTGTTCTGCATAGATCAAGCCCTATTTGCTTGACATTAGGTAAGATTCTTGACAACTTTGGTTGGCCTTTCTCTTAACCATCAAGACACTAGACTACTAGAGCACAGTAGAAACTACGTAAGACGTAAAAACTAAGGCCTATGTCTTAACATACTTGCTAAATTGCTAGGCAAGAAGTATGTGTAAATGCTAATCATGTGAAGAAAACCTCTTAAAGGCTGGACTTTATACTACCTCTATTTCTTATTATTTGCAACGATTTGACATAAAGTGTGAGTGAAAAGAATCTAATCTAATCGTTGCAAATAATTAGAAACAGAGGTAGTATTATTTTCCTCTGTCAGCTGCTGCTGTCATGTGCCTAAATGCACTACGGGCAGGATCTTTATTAAAAAAATAAAATAAAATTGTAAATTGGAAACTTTAAACTTAATGGACAAAGGTGAAAACATAAGGACTTTGATTATATTTCTGAAGTATATTGAAAGAATTCGGAATCAAGCGTGAAAGAAATTCATAAATTAGTAACTTCTGGTCAGACATTCTGTACTGCTAGATTACTTATTTAATTGAGGCAGCATTAAGGTGCTTGGTGGTTTGATTTTCATTTAGGTGATCTGGGTGATTATACAGTTGTAAGGACAATATATTAGTAGCTGATACAGAAGCTGCGGCAATTGATCCAGAAAGAACAACAAGCAACACCTAAGGCAGAAGCTAATGATTATGTATTTTGCAGCAGGTGTAGAGTAATTTTGTTTCCTTGTTTTGGGCAGCATAGACCTGAATTATTAGGAATGGGATATGATCTATATTCAAGACTCAAAGATTCTCTTTGAGATCTGAGTATTCCAAGTGACTGTTTCCCAGATTGATTGTTTAATCATGTTTTTGCATCATGCCATTAACTTGTTTTATTCTGCTGGCTGTGCTAGATACTTTTTAGGTCTTTGAGTGCACTATGTACACATGTAAGGGGAAACTGGTAGACTTGTTACAATTCTATGAAACCATTGAGATCAATGGTCGTGAAGGGACTCTACTAACTAATGATGAGGTCGATCAGGTGCACTATCCTTTCAGTTGCTTTAATCCAAAGGTTTGGGGATTTTGATTTTGTTGCTAATTTGTTCGGTGATTATGATTTTTCCTCATAAATTACAAGCTGCCTGTTCATGTAACAGTTTGTATGCTTTTACTGTTCCTTAGTTGCGAGAGTTAGCTTTGGCTAATATTGGTGCAATTGCAACCGTGTTGATCTTGTAAAGAAACTGTCTGTTCTTTTGCTGATAATGCTCAAGGACCTGCTGTTTCCTAAGGTTTGTTTTATTCTCAGTCTGTTATATTTTGCTGATTGTTTTCCTCTTTTCCTTTTATTCAGCTCAAACTCATTTCAAACAATGATCCATAGTCAGACTGAATTTCCTTATGAAATAAGGGAAAATTCTCATTGGTAGCTTTATACTTTTGACTTCTATAATTGGTAGCCGATTTTTTTTTATTTTTTTTTATCAATGGTAGCCCTATATTTTTTACTTTTACTTAAAGTGATATTAATGAAAGTAGTTTAAAAATTCTGTTGATATTAACTTTACTTGACTATGGTTAAGCAATAAGCATTCACTCTTTTTTTTTACAAAAAAAAAGGGGTTAAGCATTCACTTTCTTCCTCATTCCCCACCCCCATCTTTCCCCAAAACTCAACCTTTCCACCGTTAATTAACCCTCATCCTTCATAACCATTCCAACCACCACTATCACCGGCTCAAAAGAACCTAAAGCCTGCACAAAGAAAGCCACCAACCCACAAATGTTCCAACCACTCTTTATCCTCCCTTCACTGAACTCTCCTCTCATCCACCACCAACTCCCACTGCAAATTCCTCCTCTCCCACCCATCTTCCAACCACACTCTTGATTGGGGCTTATGGAATTTTCAATTTTGATGGATAATTAAAGTCAGAATGCAGAATGGCGAAGAGAGAAATGAAGAACCATGTTGATTACGGGTCAACTTTGAATAATGGTAGTGGTATTTGTGATGGAGAGAGTGATTTTTGGTGGTGGAGAAGCTTGAAGTTAACCATGGTAGTTGGAGTTCATAAAGCGTAAGGTAGGAGAGAGAAGTTAGAAGCTTAAAGTAAGCAATTGAGTTGAGATGGGACTGAGAATAAAAAGGAATCCATAATTTTTTAAGTAAAAAAATTAACCAAGCTTAGTTAAGGCCATAATCTGGCATAGGGTGGTATGTAGTTAACAAATTTTTTTAATGTTTTTTACATTTTATTTATTTTTTTATTTTAAAAAAGTGGTTGCTATCAAATTCTCTTTCAAAAGGTGTTTTCTGTTTTTATTTTTTATTTATTTATTTATTTATTTTTTTACTAGTCTCGTCTAATTTCCTTTCATTATGAATTTTTTACTACCTCCGTTTCATAATTTTTGCAACTTTGGAATATTTTATATCTCACAAATATTACCCCAAAGTTGCAAAAAATATGAAACGGAGGTAGTATAAAAAAACTCCACATAACAAAATTTTGTTAGTCCTACAGCTTTACAGAGAATATCTTACTGATGAAATCAGAATACAACCTCCAAAAACAATCTGTGCTTTCTATGTACATTCTTAACCCCCCCGCCCCACCCACCAATAATGTTACTGTACTCCAACAAAAACTTATTCACCTTTTGTGATAAAGATATTGGATTGGCGCCCAACTTTGAGCGGCACCCCAAAATTTTGGTATGCCCTTATCTCTCCTCCTAGTCCTGCTGTCACAATGACCAATCCCCATGCTCTAGCTTGCATGGTCTCACTTCCATGGCTTCCACCCCCATCAAACCAAGACCAACCTGGCGCCCATGAAGGTGACGATGAGCCAAGGTTGGAAGGTGAGTCACTATACCTTATTGATCCACCAGAACACGAGTTAAAAGAACTGTCCACACCAGATTCTGTTCTGGCAATCTGAGCAGGATCTGCTTCTGGACTATAAGGAGGCTTTTCACCATCTAAACTGTTCTCACTGTTGCTGCTGTTGTTGTTGCTGTTATTGTTGTTGCTGTTGTTGATGTTGTTGCTGCTGTTGTTGTTATTGTTATTGCTGTTAATGATGGTGTTGTTGTTGTTGCTGTTATTTTCATATTCATCTTTATTAATGTTGCTGTTATTTATGCTTTCATTGTTGATGCAGCTGCTGGTGTTGTTATTGCAGTTGTCATTGTTCACAGTTTTCTCTGCTGTGTTGCTGTTTTTCTTGTTAGTTGGCAAGGGGGGGAGTTGCTTCTTGTTCTTGTTCACATCTTCTTTCTTGGGTGAACTGGTAGCAGAGGCTTGTGGTTTTTTTGAGTTCTTCTTAGAGTTCAACTGTATTGTGGGAGGTTCAATTTTGATACCACCGGGCCATGGGATTGCCACAGATACATCTTTACACTGGAAATACTCGTAAGAACTTGTGTCAATTACATTTTTGGTTTTACCACTTCGGGGCTCTTCTCGCTTCCATACATAAACATTTGAATCTTCACTCCCACATATTACATATTTTTCATCTGGGCTAAAAGAAGCAGCAATTTGACTGCTAGTATTTCGAAATCCTGCCATATAAGATACATCATTCATGCTTTAGCATTTGCTGTGGAAATGTCAGATGATGCAGTTGAAAAAGGTTTTCAAGGCATAGGGGAATACCTCCTCTAAACTTTTGGATTGATTCCGAGCCATCAAATATTCTTATTCTCGAATCAGCAGAGGTTACAAGAACTTCGTTTGGGTTATCTGAGGCAAACTGATCAAATCAAGAAACAAGTTATGTTAGCAGTCCTACAAACCACAGATCAAGGTGAGAGAATATGGTCATGTACGATGGGTATGGGCTTATTTCTTATAACAAAGGATAGGGAGAAGGTCGAGTACCTCGAAACCAGTTATCTTCTTTGGAGTTTTCTTTTTGTTATGTATATCAAATTGAATCGTTGGATTTAACTTCCCTTCTGCAATGCCAAAGAATTATAATGGTTAGATTGATTCTGATTCAAGGAACTTACGCTTTGGTGTTGCACTGCATGCCATAAGAACAAAATAGATTAAATTGACGTTTTGTTCAGTATAACAGCTTGTACCGGAAATATTGTACATGCGACAGTTTCCTTTGTGAGAGCCTACTGCAGCTCCCTGCACACACAAAAAATATCGGTGCTTAACAACGTGTTTAGGTCTAAAGGCTCAGAGCTGATAGTGATGATCCAATTGCACTTTGCACATATTACATGTTCAAGGTATGAAATGTGATGAATAAAAATGTTCTTTTATCATTTTGTCATTTATCAATCATATATAAAATGTTATTACTCGTAATAAAAAACCATATGATGGCAGATTCTAGAAGTAGGGAAGAAGAAAAAAGTTGATCAGGACCTGGCCATCAGGAGTATAGCAAGCAGCAGTAACCATCTCATGGAGATCAGTCCAGTCAACAACCCGTCTTCCGGGTACATTCCATATCCGAACCTTGGCATCGAGTGAGCCGCTTATGAAATATTCGTCGTTCACAGGATTAAACTGTATACATGTGACTAGAAAAAAAATAATACAATCCCTTATGTTAGCTCTTAATAAAACATAAATAATAATAAGTATGTGTGATCATATAATCGAATTTACGTTCTTTACCATAGTCATTGTGCGCAAACAGCTTCAAACAGACCTTTTTCTCCAAGTCCCACAGTCTTACAGTTTTGTCCATTGAAGAAGAAAGCAAAAACTAGTATAAACCAAAAATATCTTAGAATTATAGTTTGTTTTTTCCCCCAAAATTTAAATGAGACAAGTTCTACACAAATATTTCATATAATTTCAGCGTACATAAATATGCTGATCCATACCTGAGAACTAGACCAGGAAAGATCTAGCACATCATCCAAGTGACCTTTAAACGAACAAACGGGTTCATTTGAGAGTGCAAACACGGTCTCAGGCAACTGAACATAATCAGGCATGTTACTTCCTCGACGACTGCCTGATCTCCCTTTTTTCTTCTTCTCTAATGTGGACATGTCTGGTGCCCGGTCAGGGGACGGGCAGAACACAGGATGAACAGGGGTGGAATTAGCACTTTCCTCGGGTGGTTTTAAAGAAGCTATCTCACATTTTTGAACTTCCCATACATGAATCACCTTATCCTCCCCTGCACTTGCCAAATACCGCCCATCAAAATTGAATTTAATGGTCCAAATTGATCCTTGGTGAGCCTGTATCTCCTGGCAGAATCTTAATGCAGTCAACTCCTTATATGCCTTCCCCTGCGACCTCACCCTTACCCACTCACTGTTTTGAGTACCATTTTTCACACCTTTCTGCGGCTCCGGTGGAGTAGTAGGAGTAGGAACAGGAATAGGAGGGGGTAGGTGCTGCTCTTTTTCCGGTGCAACCGCACCTAAACCAGTAACCGAATTAGCCACTTTGTTGATGTTCTTAAGGAGAGAAACTCCCCTCTTCTTGCTATACCTAAAACTCTTGGATAAGTACGCGTTGACACTACTTTTCCTTTCGAGGCCGGCTTCATTACTGTCAACATCATTATTCCGTCTCCTGTTTTCTCTTCTCATCAACTCCTTCACCACCGGGGAATAGCCCACCGATTTTTCGAACTCCTCCATTGTCAATTGCCTTCCTGTTTGAAGATCACTTAGCCTGTTCCACATTCCATCTTCTGCAAATTCCTTCACAACAAATTCTTTTCCTGTATCTAAGTTTTTTATCAGAAAGAATGCTCCTAATTGCTCTCCACTATTCGTAAGCATACGGCTCTTTGGCCTGGCTTTCTTAGTATTTTCTGTACTGCTCTTTTTAATCTCGTGATCGTTGCTTTGGTGGGTGGTTGCAACTGAGGTAGAGGTAGAGGTGGACGCGGTGTCATTAGTATTGTAATTTAACTTGCATAGACGAGAAAAGGGTACATAAGTGGATAAAGTCCTGGTTATCCTCTGTTTGGAAATGCTTCCAATTAATAGCTCTTTCCTTCGTTTTGTCTCGAAAGAGAAGGGATCAATGTCGCCATCAGATCGTGACCTGACCAGAATAACCGAAGCATCTGGGGGGATAGACGCCGTGGAATGATCTTCATGAGAATGATTCTGATCGCTGCTGCTGTTTGTCATCAATGGGGACGTATCTTTATCCTCTCCTTTTTTGCTATCATCATGAGGCAAAGGCGGAGTTTCAACAGCAAGGAACTTCTTAGACATGACCATTGTCCTAAGCTTAAGAAGTTCCTTGCTGCTATTCAACCCCATCCCCTGCAGCAGCCGACGTCTACGCTCCTGTATAGATGTCGGCGCTGCCATCCATATGTCATACTCCTCCGTGGATGGCAGCGGCAGGGGAGGGGTGGGGGGCAATACAACATTGTTCGTGTGTTGTAGGCCCCCTTCCGACGACGATGAAATGACAGACGCGAAGGACATACGTGGGTCCTCAAAGTCGTCATCATCTGAGTCATCGTCGGAGTGCCTCATTAACAAGTCCATAGGGACCACCGTGGAAATACGGTTGTTAGCGTCGAAGAAATCGTCGTCATCTTCGTCGTCGTGACATCCTAATCCGTCCCAATTCATGGTCATTGTTCGTTTTATATCCATTTTCGAATCGATAGTAGTAATTATGATGGTAATGGTTACGGTAATAATGATCAATATAGTTGTTCATTTACATTTGATGTGGATAAAATCTTGGTTTATCAAACTAAAACGGTAGAATTTTGGAGAGGAATGTAAGAACAGCATTTTATTTTTCTTGATTGTTTGTTTAATTTCTTTTTTTGGGAATAATTTTGGTTTGTGTGAGAGAGAAGAAAGGTGTGGAAAGAGAGTGGAAGGGAGAAAAACAAGGAGAATATTGCCTAAATGTCGTTACAAGAACAATAATAATTAAGGCTATGATTTGGTACATCAGAAAATGGAACCTACAAATGATTAAATGCAGTATTCAATTCAATTCACTGTCAATTGGGTCTTTTAGTTCACAACCAAGAACATGTCATCACGTCTTAACACATTATCATTATTAAGTTCGTTAGATTAAATTAAAATATTTTTGGGAATAAAAATAAATTATTCTGATTTATATGATATGAATGTAGCTATGTGCTCAAACATTCTCTTTGAAATTTTATTTTTCATTGCAAAATGATCTGATATGGGTCCAACTTATAATTGTTATTTTTAATTTTTTCAAAAATTTGTTAATGTATAAATATTTCTTCCCTAAAAAAAATGTATAAATATTTCTATTTTATTTCATTTATTGCAAATTAGCAGTATTTTTACCATTTTGTTCTTATATGACCTTTCACTAGAAATGACAATTGTAGGCATTTACATGATGTTTGATTAAAGAGAAACGGAGAGAAAAGAACATAAGAGAAAAGTAATAATGCGTTATCCTTTGTTTGGATATACTTAATGCAAGGAGGGGAGGAAGGAAAATAGAAAAGATCTATTTTATTCCCCTTTTAATAAACCAAATCCCTCCAATTGTTTGAGAGATTTGAAAGGAAAATGAAAGGTTACCTTCTGCCTCCCCTCGCCTCTTTGCCTTCCCTCTTTTTCCTTTTCCTCTTTTTTCCTTTACTAATGTTATCCAAACATAGTGCTAATTAAACTAGTCCTAATCCATCGAACTAGTTGTAATGCAAAGGGTGTTCAACATTTGGTTATTGCAAAGAAAAATTTGTAATCTACTGCGAAGTAAGTAGAATGTGACGCAACAAGTCTATTATTGTCAAATATCTTGGTTGGACAAACTTAAAGTAACTAATCACAATAGCTCAAAGTTTGTTTTGTTTTACAACAAAGGAATTCAAAGAGATCAAACTAATGCTTTAGATACTCAAATAATCGTCCTGTATATATTTCTCATATTATGCGGGGATTTATAGTACCCATGCATGAACAGTATTTGCTCGATATATTAAACATGCTGTGAAATGTCTAATCGAGCGTGAGGTTTTGAGCGACAATATTTATTCTTGCATATGAAGCTTAGTAGTGGTATTTGGTGGTATTCATAATCTGTTCATATTACGCATACGATGCGTATTACAACACTCCTCCTTGAACGAATTTTTATAAGGATGACTCCTACCTAAAAATTTACATTAGGTAAAAACAAATATTACCACTATTGCACCTGTATGTTTATCTGCCTCATTAAAATCTTGCCAAGAAAAACCATGTGGAATAAATACTTAGACGAAGGAAAAAGAGTACAACACATATAGGGTTTCCCCCTCAATTTAACACAGATCACAAAGACGACACATGCCGGTCATATGTAGGAGTTCTTGAAATTTGCTAAGTGGTAATAATGCCTTTTTCACTACAAGAAAACAACCGATTTATGATGGGCTGGTTCCGACAGACATGTAATTCCGTCGGAAATTTCGACGGATTTGTATTTCGTCGAATATTTCCGACGGATTCAAACAATCAGGCGGAAATCCGTTGGAAATTTCCGCCGGAATATAAATCCGTCGGAATGTTTATACTTTCCGACGGATTATTCCGTCGTAAATTTAAATTTCCGACGGATAAATATTTCGTCAGAAATTTCCGACGGAATTTCTCTCGGAATATAAATTATAAAAAAAGAAAAAAAACCGTATAAAATGTCTAAACCCTACCCCTTCTTTTTCCACCCCTTTTCTTTCTGCTTCTCTTTCTCTATCCTCTTCGCTTTCCCCCTCTTCTTATTCCCCTTCTCATTCTCTCTCTTCTCCGCCCTCCTCTTTCTCTTCTCTCTCGGTCTTCTTCTCCCTTTCTCTCTCTTCTATGGCCTCGCTCTCTCTCTTTTCCGCCCTCCTTCACTTTCTCTCTCTTCTCTTATTTTTCTTTGTCCTCCCTTTCTCTCACTTCTCCCATAGACATTTCGATTAAAAACATTAGGAAAGAGTTTTCATGGTTGGAGCCTAGAAATCTCAAATCGGCGAGAGAAATTCAAAGTTTCATGGTCAAAACGAAGGTTTTTAGGTCAAATTCAACCATAAAAATCTAGATATAGAGTTTTCATGGTTGAATTTGGCCTCGTAAACCCAATTTCAAGGTTTTGTGTGGTGGAATTAAGTTATGTATGTATCTGTTAGTTGAGGCGAATTACTACAAGAGGGGGGTAGTAAGTTCCTATATGACTACTTTTTGCGGAATTTAAAATAAACGTAATAGCTTAGGAACATGAAAAGCACACAACAATATTATGAGGAAACCTTCCCGGACCCAACTGGATGTAAAACCTCGACCCTCCAAGGGATTTCAAACACCAAACTAATTCACTATAATAGGGCAACATGCCTAGTTACAACCTATTAAGCACAAACCTTTGCTCACAAATTCAATTCCAGCTAGACTGAACTTGCTACTCGAGACGACTCTATCCTACCCAACCTAAGTCCCTCACTTAAGTTTTACTTGGTACTCACAGAGCACTCAATAATCAGTTTCAAACTAGAAGCCTATATAATGTACGCAATATTAAAATACTCACCCAAATCCCAAAACAATACAAACACTTGACTCTAATATGAAGTTGGAAAGTTACACATGAAACCCGAATTTAATACAATAAAGCTCTTAAACTTTGGCAAACTTACACTTAAGTACTCTCGAGATTTTCACGCATAAAATGCACACTTTTGCTCAGAATATGAACACCTCTATTGATAAGAAGTATTCACACACTATGTAGGGTTTTATAAAAAGATAAATGTTAAAACTGCCATCACATAAAACCTAATATGAATGAATCTTTTTGTGAAAATCTTTGTGAAAATCGATCAAAGATAGAATTTAGAATAAGATAAATACTTTGTAAACAGGATTTTATAAGATAAAATCTCACAAAGATCTTTTCCATAAATTAAAACTATCTTGTAAAAAACTTTCGATTTTACCTAGCTTGCTAAGCTTTATCATGTTTTTAATAGATCTCATTATTAACAAACACATATTTACAGCAATCTTAGTAAAAATAAACTTAACATAAACCTTAATAAAAGTCTTCAATAAGTTTACTATTGAATTGCATCATTGGGCTTTGTAAAGTATATTGGAACTTAGGTTCTTCGCAGACCAGGATTGAATTCCTGTTGTCTTCTTATCTCCAGAATCTTGTTGGAACTCGCAGTCCAAAGTCCAAATTCCTCTGGCACTTGTTGTCTTCAACGCAGTCTAAGCTAGTCTTCTTAGCTTGATGTCCAGATTCTGTTAGGAAGCTTCTCTTTGTGTTCCTGTTAGGGATCATTTATAGTTCTAGTGTTGAACTCTTCTTCTATTCTCTTTATATTTCCCTTATTTCTCTTTGGATCTTCATAGCCAGATTACTCTTCCACTCTCTAAGACTACTTCACCTATACTAGTTCAATACTTACAGAAATCTTATTAGTTAAAGTTTGCTTTTTCATCGTCATAAAAAATACTTAAGGTTCAACAATTTCCCCCTTTTTGATAATGACAAACTTAGCAAACTTTGAGCAAGAAAGTAAAGAGAATAGAAGGCTAGTGTTTTTTGAATTTTATATTAATAACAAAACTTAAAAACACACAGAAATAGAAATAATATAAACCAAACAAAAAACAAAAATAACTAGCTAGAATTTTTACTGTGAAGTTTGCTTCTTCTTTTTCCCCTTTTGATTCATAAAAAGTCCTGCTAGCAAAGTTATTAGACATCTAAACACACCCCACAAGCAATTCATCGAGTGTGGGAGACTGAAAGTAGCGCTGGCTAGCTCCCTTTAGCCAAAACTTTCACACAATCATGCATATACTTTCATACCATACAATGCACATATAAAAAAGCAAAATTCCAAAATAGAAATAAAAATAAAAAGTAACTACTCTGTTTTAGCAATTACAAACCATTGTTCAAATTACCAGAAAACTTAAATTGTTCATCACATAAACTGAAAGAAAATAATGACTTAAGCTAGGCTAAGGCCCTGTTCTTTTGAGCTGTTCTGCTTAAATCTGCTCTGCTCTGCTTAAAAATAATTAATAATAATAATAATAAATAATATTTATAGATAACAATAATTAAAATTTAAAAATAATAATTAATAATAAAAACTAATAGTTAAAAACAAACAAATATAACAACAACAACAACAACAACAACAACAACAATAAAAATAAATATTTCATAATAATAACTAATATTTATAGATAATAATAATTAATATTTAATAATAATAATTAATAGTAATAATATTAATATTTAATAATAATAAAAATTTTAAAATAAATTTAATAATAATAATAATTAATAATAATAATAATTAATAATAATAATAATTAATAATAATAATAATTAATAATAATAATAATAATAATAATAATAATAATAATAAGAATAATAAATAATTTATATTTAATAATAGTATTAATAAAAATAATAATATTTAATATTTAATAATTAATAAAAATGATAATTATAATAATAATAATAATTAATATTTAATAATAATAATAATTAATATTTAATAATAATAATAGTAAACAATTTATATTTAATAATAATACTAATAAAAATAAAAATATTTAATATTTAATAATTAATAATAATAATAATAAATATTATTTAATAAAAATAATTAATACTTAATAATAGTAATAGTAGTAATAATATTAAATAATAATAATAATAATAATAATAATAATAATAATGATGATGATGATGATAATAATAATAATAATAATAATAATAATAATGATAGTGATAGTGATAATAATAATAATAATAATAATGATAATAATGATAATAATAATAATAATAATAATAATAATAATAAATATTTAATAAAAAAAATTAATATTTAATAATAGTAATAGTAGTAATAATATTAAAAATAATAATAATAATAATGATAATAATAATAATAATAATAATAATAATGATAATAATAATAATAATAAATAGTATTTAATAATAATAATTAATATTTAATAATAGTTAGTAGTAGTAGTAGTAATAATAATAATAATAATAATAATAATAATAATAATAATGATAATAATAATAATAATAATAATAATAATAATAATAATAATAATAATAATAATA